CGGAGCAGCCACAGAGAAGGCTCTCCTCCGGGGGCCCGCCAGCCAACACTGTCTGGTTGATGGCATTTGAAGGAGGCCCAATCAGTGGAATCTTACTGGCCGCTGGGAGGTATGTGGCAGTATGCGGTCTCGAAGGTATGCTGGCCCTAAGCAATGTAAGTCTTTAAAGGTAATAACCAACACCTTGAATTGTGTCCGGAGACCAATTGGTAGCCAGTGCAGCTCGCGGAGGACAGGTGTAACGTGGGTGTACCTCGGTGCACCCAATATAGCTCGCGCGGCCGTGATATTCTATAGATACTGAAGAAAAAATACTTGGGATTTTGTGGGACATGTCATTCTTTCTAAGACGTTGTTTTATAATACTTTTTAGAATTATGTTTTATTCAGGTCTGAAGTGCCACAGCTTCAGAAATTGTAAATTAACAATGTCAACAGCCTATAAGGAAAACCTATACAAAATGTTTTATAGATAGCATTTACCACCAGCGCGGTTAGTAAAGATGTTTGAAAACTTATCAGCTAAATGTTGGAAGTTTAATCAGACACCAGGTTCATATTATAATATGTGGTGGACGTGCCCAAAGACAAAAATAATAGTTTGTTAGAAAAAATGATGAAACAACACATAGATTTGAAACCAGAAATATATCTGCTGGGGATACTACCAGAACAGTATAATAAAGGGAATACATATTTAATTTTGCATGTAGTAACGGTAACAGGAGTAGTGTTTGCACAACAACAGAAAAATGATAAGGTCCCGAAAGTGTAATTTTTACAAAAAAATCAAATCAAATTGAGACTGTTTCCTTTTATATCCAAGCTAAAGAAACCTCCTGAGGACAAACTTGAAGAGTTTTGGATTGACTTCAATTATGGAAGTGAGAGCATTACATTCTATTCACACTGCCTAGAGGTAAAATTGTAGTGTTTTTAAAAATGGGCCTTTATTTACTTACTTACTTAGCTGCCATTAACGTGACTTTTACCTCATATTGTCTTTAAGGACATACTTTGGGAGTCAGTAAGATTGCCAAAGGAAGACATCAACAATTATTACTTACGGGGTAAGTCCATGAGAGATTAGTAGAAATATTATGTCGAGTTTTTTTAAATGTATGTCATTTTTGGTTGCATTTATTAAATATAATGAAAACTCCAGAACTACATACCTCTACTGTTTTTCTGCTGTGGTGCCGAGGCTTTGAGCAGGAGATTATTTCCACTCTTCTCCAGGTTATCTGGAACACTGTTGAATGTGTGTATAACTTCCCCCACCTCTATGTTAAGGAGCTGTGAAGATGCCGTATGCAGAGTCACCTGGGAATAAAGCTGCACATTGGCTAAAAAAACCTGCTTCCCTTCCCCCAGAATAAAGAAAATTTAATTTCTCTCACAGTTGCAATAGAAATGACCATAAAAATAAAGGGCAGAGCACAGCGATTGGAGAAGTAGTCAACCAGAAGATTGTTGATCTCTGAAGCCGCCTCCATATGCCTTAGAACATTGATGGCAAACCTTTTTGTAAAGGTGTTCCAAAATTGTGTGCCTGCGTGTACCCGCAACCACAATTCAATATGCCCCACCCGTCTGCACATGCAATCCCGCACATGCACACATGGCCTCCGCCCCCTTGGGGGGGGGGGGGAGTTTTCGCCCTCCCCAGGTTCCGGAGGCTTTCCTGGAGCCTGGGAAGGGTGAAAACAGCCTTCCCTGGCCTTCCGGAAGGCTGAAAATCTGGCCGACATGCGCACTGGAGCTGATGGCACACATGCAAATATGGCTCCGGTGCCATGCATGCTCTAGGTTCACCATCACAGCCTTAGAAGATTTATATTGCAGTAAGAGGAGGCATAATAGAGTAGAACCTCTGGTCACGGCCATAATTCGTTCCATAACTTTGGTCCCAAACTGATTGGTCATGTCCCAAACCTAATTTTGAAAATTTGGCGCTTAACAAAAAATATGGTGCAGAAGTGGAAATTGGCCTGGGGGATGGGGAGGGATTGTGAATGTTTTGGTTGGAACCTGATTTGTTTGTGATCAGAAGTGTTCGTGACCAGAGGTTCTACTATACTTGTATGCCAGAACACCTAAACTCAACCTGGGGTTTCTTTAAGAGTGGCTCCATCATGGAGATATGTTCTCAACAAATCACTAGCAGGGCATCTTCCTGAATGGCGCAAGTAATGTCCCATTTCAATACATCTGGAGCTAGACTTGTGTAGGCTGCAAACTAACAGAGACAAGAAAAGCCACCTTGATTCTCCATGTGTGAATAGGTAGCAATATAAATTTTCAAACATAAAAAAAATAAAATAAAGCCAGATAAGTTCCTTGCTCCTTTCATCTTTTTAAACAAATCACATGCAAGGTGATGTTTCTTTTATGGATTGATTGGTTGGTTCTAAAGTGTCACAGAATTCTTTGAGTTAATTGACAGAAGAATATCTGAGAGATGGAAGAATATTTTGATTTCTGAGAAAGTTTCTTGATCTATGACAGCATGGATTGAATTTTGGCATGGATTGAAGATGAATTCTATTTGATGGCATAATGAACGATATTGCATCACGCTCCAAGTTGTGTCTATCCCCAAGGTCAAATATAATACAATAGTATTATACTCTGAATGAAAGATGATGCTTGCTTAGTAGACTGGCTTAATTGTTAGACAGTGAAGTGTCTAAAAGAGGGATTTTCTTCTTCCTTGTTGTGGTTGTTGGTTGATGGTGGTGATGATTTTATTTCAAAGGACAGATGTGGATTTTCATGCCAAAATAATTGGAGCTGCTGCTTTGGATATTCCGTGGTGTGGAGATCATTATTTCGTCTTTTTGTTTCAAACAGCAGAATATGTCACACTGATCCTAGTGCCTAATAAGTAGTATAGGATGCTTCATTAAAACTATTTCGAGAAAATTGCTGACTGTGGGAATGACTAGCAAATGCATCTGTTCTTTTCCTTTTGCATAAAGACCAAGAAGGAGAAAAGATTCTTATAATCACCATGAGAAGGTCTGTTGTGATCAACAAAGCAGAAATCACCAAGATCAGAATTCACTTTGATAGCAAGTTTGCTGTTTTAGCACCACTCCTTAAAGCTATCGGAAAAGATAAAATGGTAAGGGGTTTGTGGTGTGTGTGTGTGTGTGTGTGTGTGTGTGTGTGTGACAGAGTGAACTGCCCATCAACTTTTGTCTAGTAAAAACTCCATAGGTTTTTACAATTTTGTATCAAACTAAGCTGTTATTTTTGGTTTGAATATTGTTAGAAATTTCTCTCAAAGTATTCATGCGAATTTTCTTAAATGGTAGTTGATTGTAATGTTATAAATAATCTTCACAAGTTTTTTTTTAAAGTTACAGCCAGTATTTACATTGTTTTTTAATTGTAATCTTCTCTGATGCTGACTTCCTCTGGAGAGCAAGACATTCTTGATCTGAAGGGATATATAGACTTTTTTTTTTGAAGCGGTGCATATATAAAGTTGTGCACGTATATACATATATACATTTTGTGTTACATTTTTGCTTATAAAGAAATGAAGGGAGACTAGTATAGATCTATTTCAAGCTATTTAGCTCCCATCAGCTAGCCATACCCTTGATGGGATTCAAACTTGGGCTGCTTACAGATTAGGCGGTTGTATTAACCTCTAAGCCACAAGTTCTCCTCCATTTAGCAGCTGAGCCAGGGGAGAGATTAAATGTTTTCTTTTCGGTCAAAGCACCTGGTCTATACAAATATGGGAGGGGGCATACTGCTTCCCTCCCCCCCCCTACACACACACACACACACACACACACACACACCACACACACACCACACACACACACCTTACTTTAAAAGAAATTATTCGTCAATCTACAAACAGAGTCCATGAATGGCAAAAGGGTCTATCTCTGAGAATGCTTCCAAAAACTGATCTAAGCTGATCAAAACCCTAATTTTGAGGCAGGATTTAGAAACAGTAAGTAGTATAGGAAATATATTTGCACTAGCCATATAACCCTGGTAGTTTTGCTTAGCTGAGAAATGTCTTAAAAATCCTTAAATGGATGACACCTCTGTAGATGGAAGGCAACACAACCTCTACGTCTGGGCACATATGAGATAGACAAGGCTGAAATCTTCTCTTCCGATGAAGAATAGGTCCATGTGGAAGCCTGATGAAGCTTCTTTTTACTGATGGAGTTGGCCAACCAAAACTTTTGAGAAGGAACAGCACCAAAGTTTTCCAAATCTTTGGTTGAGTTCTTAGGTTGCTTATCAAATCTGCTGCATTCTAGTACTAGGAAGTAGTATAAAATTCCGCTAGGTCGTCATCTAATGAATCAGTTGCCCTCTGGATTGAACCAGGGGAAATTATGCCTACTAATTTGAAAAAAAATATTTTTGTTTTAGGGACCCTAATTTGACAACCAGGTTCAGTAAAAAAAATGCTTACTAGACAATCAGCTAACGGATGTTCCTCTTTAAATTTAAATTTAGAAAGCATTCACTAAAACTCAAGAATATGATTACTACAGACTTTTATAGCATTGGTTGCATCTGGATTTTTTTCTGAGAGATTTCTTTTCTCTGGATTAAACTTTTCCTCCCCCCAATAACTTAATTGGACAGATGACAATGGATGAAGAGGAGAATGCCAACCAAAGACAAACTGCAACAGGTGAGTGGGAATTAATGCCAATAAAATCCTCTTTCAGGTTGTCTTCTTGCCTGACCATAAGCAAAAAGAGGTGAAGTGTGAGCATTTTTGACAGTGGTACCTTGCAGGGATTTTCCTGGGCAGAAATACCTGTTACTTTTGATGGTTCCATATGGATGGAGATAGGTAGGTAGGTAGGTAGGTAGGTGTTCTGACCCCTCTCGTCCCACACCAACACACGCCGAGCCAAAGATAAGTTACGGCATTTAATTAACAGACAGGCAGGTCCTTGGCAGCAAACCGGCACAGACAAGCTTGAGCAGAAATCCAGCACAGATAAGCCGTGGTAGCAATCCAGCCTGCCAAGCTCAC